AATGCTTGATGCATTATATAGATTTGATTATATTATACTCTCCCACCTGTCATTCTTAATAAACTTTACTATAATTATCCTGATCAAGTAACTTATTATAATGTTATTAAGCACTCACCAACTCTCCCAAAGACTCATATAAAATGGTAACAATATTTATATAACTTTTAATCAAATATATATATTATAAATATGAAAACAGAAATACCATTATGTGTAACTAAAATTTCCTTTAATCACTGATTTTGTGGTTCTTTCATAAATGATTAAATCAGCGATTATTAAGCAGATCTCATCTATCAGATTGATTTAGAATTGTTTCATAATAAAAAGGGATTGTATTTTCTCAAGCTACATTCCGTAAAATTCTCTGACATGACTGTTCAAATTGATACACTTTCAATTAATACAATCCGCACTTTGGCAGCTGATGTGGTGCGCAAGGCCAACTCGGGGCATCCTGGTAAATAATAAATGGACACTTTGTGCCGGCATTTTATCCAGTCTTTGTAGTTTATATTAATTCTTCATTAGGGGCTCCTATGGGATGCGCTCCAATGGCACATGTATTATTTTCGAGATTTATTACTACCAACCCAGAAAATCCGTTATGGGTAAATTTTTCTTTTTCACATATATCAAAAAAAACAATTGATCTAAAATCAAATGCCAATATATTATTTAATTCGCAAAATAATTAGCCAAATCGAGATCGGTTTGTTCTGTCAAATGGTCATGGCTGTGCCTTGCATTATATTCTCTTACATTTGATGGGCTATGATCTTACCATGGACGATTTAAAAGCATTCCGTCAGACTGATAGCAAGTGAGTTAAATATACTGACCAAAAAAGTGAACTTTTTGATATATGAATTCTCATAGATTTCTTTACTTAATGATCAATTAGAACCCCTGGACATCCGGAATCTCATATGACTCCTGGCATCGAAGTTACCACAGGACCTCTTGGTCAAGGTATAATTAGAAACTTATGGTATATTAAGTTCATTTTAGTTTCTCACTAATATTCTTTTTTATCAATAGGATTTGCAAATTCTGTCGGATTGGCAATTGCTCAAACTCATTTATCGGCGATTTTTAACAAACCAGGGTTTGATTTGTTCACGAACCATACCTACGTCATTGCTGGTGATGGTTGTCTCCAAGAAGGAATTGCTTCAGAAGCAGCATCTCTTGCCGGGTAAATAAACATAGATATTGATTATTTTTAATTTGCTATATTTTGTTTATTATGCATTAATATGCCTATTACAATTGTAGTCATTTACAACTTGGGCATTTGATTGTTCTTTACGATGACAATCATGTGTCTATTGATGGTAAATTTCTTATTAGATTGTTAGTTGCAATAAGTAAATTTAATATTAATAATTTTTTCTTATAAAGGCGATACCGAAGTGAGCTTCACTGAAGATGTACTGAAACGTTTTGAAGCTTATGGTTGGCATACGCAATTTATAACTGATGGTGATAATGACTTGGAAGGAATTACCAGAGCTATTGAAGAAGCAAAGAAAGTCACAAATAAACCATCAATAATAAAAATTCGAACTATCATTGGAATTGGATCGAAATTCCAAGGCACTGAGAAAGTACACGGCAGTCCGTTATCACCCGATGATATTGTCGAAGTGAAAAAAATTTATGGTTTTGATCCGGAAAAACATTTTCATGTACCACCAGAGGTAGAGCTTTACTTGATATGCAATTTTTTTTAGATTTTTATTCATATTCTGTATAAAAATATCTTTTTTTCAAAGGTATATAAAAATTACGAACACTTCAAGCAAAAAGGTGTACATGCTGAAAAACAATGGAACGAGCTTTTAGAGAAATATACACAACAACATCCTCATGAGGTAAATTTGATTCTGATTATTTTTTCTTTAAACTATCAAAATATCTAAATAATTAACTTGTTTATAAAACAATAATACTATCGTTGATAAAAGGGAGCAGAGATAAAGCGTAGATTCTCAAAAAAACTTCCAGAAAATTGGACAGATCATTTACCGCGTTATACACCAGCAGACACAGCAGTCGCCACTAGGAAATTATCGGAGATTGTATTGAACAAACTTGCTGATATATTACCTGAACTTATTGGAGGTTCTGCTGACTTAACTGGCTCTAATTTAACTCGATGGAAAACGGCTGTTGATTTTCAACCGGATTCTACCAAGTTGGGAAAATACTCTGGGCGCTACATTCGCTATGGTGTTCGAGAACATGGAATGGCTGGAGCCATGAATGGAATTTCTGCCTACGGTGGTTTGATACCATTTGGCGGTACTTTCTTGAATTTTATTAGTTATGCTTTGGGTGCTGTTCGTTTATCCGCGCTATCATCACAACGTGTAATTTATGTTATGACTCATGATTCGATTGGATTGGGTAAGTATTTGGTTTATTATTTATATCTATAATCAATTAAAATGAATAATAATTTGTCACAATATAAAGGCGAGGACGGACCAACCCATCAACCTATCGAAACGCTCGCTGGACTACGAGGATTACCCAATATCTTGGTTTTTCGTCCTGCAGATGGCAACGAAGTATCCGGAACATATCTCGCAGCTATCGAAAATCTTCATCGACCTTCTGTATTAGCATTAACTCGTCAGAATCTCCCTCACTTAGAAGGGTCATCTGTCGAGAAAACCTTATTTGGTGGTTATGTTCTTCAAGATGTTGAACATGCCCAAGTCACGTTTACGGGCACTGGATCTGAGATATCAATCGCAGTAGAAGCAGCAAAACGATTGAATCAAGCAGGAATTAAGACTCGCGTAGTTTCTCTTCCATCGCTTGAACTCTTCGAAGAGCAAAGTATTGAATATAAGAGAACCGTTTTCCCCGATGGTATTCCAGTAATAAGCGTCGAAGCATTAACGACTTTTGGTTGGTCTAAATATGCACACGTTTCTGTCGGTATGACCACATTCGGATCTTCTGGTCCATACCAACAGCTTTACAAAAAATATGGGTTTACTCCTGAAAATTTAGTAGAAAAGGCAAGGAAGACTATAGAATTCTATCAAAAACATCCTGTTCCATCTCTCATTAATAAACCTTTCTAATAATCTTCATCTTCATTTTCATTATCATTATTGCTCCATATATTTCTTTCCATTTATATTTGTTGTGTAAAACCATTATGTTATAATAAATAATAATGTATTGATCAATGACCAAGTTTATCTTATCAGCTGTCTGCACAGAAATCAAATCAGTCGATCTAGAATGCCAAACTTTGGGGAGCACCTGATTAACTTTGGCAAGATAAATGTGCAGTTTAATGCGACTCTTCTTCCTAGTTTGGTTTATTATATATAGTACAATAATCCGTGTTTTCTACATATCATTAAATTACAATTGAGGTAGACAAAATTGACTTTTGAATCATCGTAAAATCAAAATCATCTATATGATAACATCACCTTTTGCAATTTTCCTACTTTTTGCATTCTCTCTTGCGATTATATATGACAAGATGGTTTTGCGTCAATTACCTCGAGCGATACGTGCTTGGTTATATGGAACCGCATTATTTAGGTTTGTTGTTTTTATCGGAACCCTTAATAAATAGAGAAATCTGCATTTTCAAAAGTTATTATTAATAATAATGTGGGTTTTCTTTATTGAAAAAAAAAACAACGTTTCCATTCTGACAATATCATAACATTTATACTATTCTACACGTCATATGTACACATATATATGTGTATATATATGTTTAGTCTTGCGATTGGCATTAACATAGTGCAGCTTTGCTCTTTTTTATTTGTGCCGATTTCACGAAGGCTTGTTTGGGATATAAATACTCGTGGAGCACAAACTATGTGGTGGGTTATGCAGGTAATTTTATAGAGCACGAGAACTTTTTGGGTTAAGCTTACAAGCTTTGTTAACATCGATTATTTTATATATACACCTATTCAGTATATCTTCGAGGTAAGTAGAAGATTTTCTTGAGAACTTAATTTAGCTTATTACTTCATCTCAGTTAATTTGGTCTATTGTTCTATCGATCGTTAGCGTCGACATAGTGGAAAAATCACATTTTCAGGAGACAAATTAATGCCTAATGACAGCGCTATAGTGATCAGTAATCATCGATCTTTTACCGACTTTTATATGTTACATTCAGTAGCGATACGGAAGAATATGTTACCGCATGTCAAATATTTTGCTAAAGATTCATTAAAATATGTAAGAAATTCATTATGATTATTCTTCTTGTGAGGCTTTTCATTTTAATTATATTAATCATGGTAATACTACTGCTACTACTACTACTAATTACTTCTCCTTTAATATAGATTCCATTTTTTGGATTTGGAATGTGGGTAGGTTAAATAAGCAAAAGATGACTCTTAACGTCTTCTGAATTTCTTGATTATTTTATGACTATCGAAGAATTATACTTATTTATTTAACCTAATCTACTAGTTAATGGGTATGCTCTTTATTAAAAGAAACTGGACTCAAGTAAGCTTTGAATCGGAGGGATTATAATTTTTGTTTTGTATTTCGCGTGACAGATTTTCTTATTTAGAATTTTTTGATTTTAGGATGAAGTTCGACTAAATAAAATGTTTAACGCAATAAAACAATACAGAGCTCCAATTTGGGTGGTAAACTTTTTAGAAGGAACTAGGATGACACCACAGAAAGTCAGAGAGGTATAAAACACTACCATTTTATATTGGTATTTATTTCTTTCCCAATCATCGAGACACGCGTTTATCAAAAAGATTTCGATTTTAATAAATATCCATCACTGCATTTAATAGGGTCAACAATTCTCTAAAAAACGCGGTTTACCAATATTACAAAATTTATTGGTCCCACGCACAAAAGGATTCATTGCTTGTCTTGGTCAATTACGAGATACTCACGTGAAATTTGTATATGGTACTTAACTAATCTATAAATATAATTGCCTAATTAACTAACATTTATTTTTCCTAATTATTATTATTTTTAAAAATATTCCTTAGATTTTACAATTGCATATCGTCACGTCACTAAAGGAATACAGTCACCACCAAATCTTGTACAAGTACACAGTTATTCCAATCTGTCACCACCTTGGTCTTTTCATGTGCATGTACGAAAATACGCAATCGAAGATTTACCGAGGGACGAGGAAAAAATTGCTGAATGGGTCAAGGAAAGATTTGTTGAAAAGGATGCAATATTAGAAGATATGAAGACACATTGGACTAAAAGCGAACGTTTGGGTGAAGTTCATGTTGATAAATATTTTAAATAAATAGAGTTTTCTTAATATCATCATTAATATTGTGTATTATTATTACTGTCATTTTTTCAATTTCACGCATCAATAAACTTTTTTTTTTACTTTTCGCTTTAACTTTTTATAATTGTTCTGTAATTATTTAAATCTTCAGAAAACCCTTTAATCAATGATTCTGACAATCATTAGATACCATTGCCCCCAAAATATATAAAGGGAATCTTTCTGCTCTTCGGCCAGTAATTGGTTTCGAACTCAGCCTTTTTTACCTCCTGGCTTTTGTGAATTTTCATGTTCTATAATTATTTAGCAAATTATAATTTTCTGTACGTTAACGATTTTACTTAAGGTTATCTCTTTCAATAGAATTCGATATTTCGGCTGCAATAACTGGGTGATCATCAACACAGACGCCACCTATTAGAGTAGTCAACCCTCTCTTTTGTAGCCTCGAGTCAGGATCATACAAGGAGGTGAATTAATATTATATAATAACTGAAATTTTTATATACTGATTTACACTCGCATCCAATGGTAGTTCGTGTCTTGGGAAACACAAGAGGGTCATAACGGCAACGATTTCTTGTTATATGGCAAAGTCCTGTAAGACGAGTCGAGTTTTGTCATAATATATACTGATGACGAATTCTGAGCTTGAATTAGGAGTTACAGATGGATTTCGAGATATTATGGTGGTTTTAACGGGAAGAGATGAGATTGGTGTTTGATCTCAAGAAATGACCAACATTTAGAATGATCAGATCTACGAAAAATAAATTTTAAAGTTTCAGAAAATAAACGTGTTTAAGATTAACGATGAGACGACAATTGATTGGTCTCGTTTAAAAATATATCATTGATGTAGTAGTGTACCTTTTTGTACCATGTATGGATCAATAGAATTTGTTGCGTAATATCACGATAGTGAATTTTTGGGTACTCTTTGTGTGACCCGACGACCCGGTACATAAATTGGTATTGTATTTCTATTGGCGGAATATTAGAGCACCTACAATGTTAGATTTTTGAAAACCCATTTTTTGTAACATCTAAAATTATCAAATAGCATTTCAAATAACAGCAAATAGTAAACCTTTGAATGATACCAACTTTTTAGAATTTATAAATATACTAACTCGGTCTCGAACTCTACAAATCTGTCAACTTGTCTTGGCTTAAAAATAACTTTAAAATGTTTTGGCGCTTTAGCTTAAACCCGTCAGCCATCGACGGCCTATTAGACAAAGAAGATCTAACTCTAGAAGAACTATTGGACGAGGATGATTTGTTGCAAGAATGCAAAACGCAAAATAATAAATTAATCGAATAGTACGTTACAGCAGATTCAGAACAATGCACCTTCTTTGTCTCACACTAACCAAATTTACGAACCATGATAATTATAGTCTTCGTGACCCAGTTATACTTTCCCAACTACTAAATTATATTATTCGGGAAGATTTGGATGATAGACAACGTTTCAAGTGAGTCTTTTGTTAGGTTGCGATTGTCGATTTTTTATTGTATAAATTATCAATGGCCTTTGCTGGAATTTTGTATTTTTTCTTTAATTCGGGTGATTCCGTAAAGATACCCATATGTCGCTTGTGAAGTTCTCTCTTGTGAAATCTGGGCCATTTGTGAAGCTGTGATCGATAACCCGGATTTACTTAATTCCTTTTGGCAACTTTTGGATCGCCCGCCGCCATTAAATCATTTACAAGCAAGCTATTTCGTAAAAGTGAACGCGGTGTTTTTATCAAGGAAAACAAACGAGGTTGGATAAGGAGCGTGTTAATTTAAATTTGATTTATTGACCAAGAGATTTAGAAATATTTTACTCTTGAAAAATAAATATAGATGGTGAAATTTATAAGGTCCATACCAAAGGTTGTCAACAAATTATTGACACACATGGAAACTTCAGCAATCATGGATTTATTATTGAAACTGATCAGCGTTGAAGAGTATCCAGAAGGTGCCGGGGTTGTCGACGTAAGATTATTTATTACATTAATTGATTTTATTTATCGTGTGACCTACATTGATTCTTTTACAATCCTGCTGAGATTAGTGGCTGAATTCGGAAGGCCTTATCCAAGCTTTGATTTCCAAATTGGAACCTAATCTTGATTCCGATGTAAGGCCAGATAAACATGATATTCTAAGTTTGTTAATTTTTTTAGAGATTTTTTTTTGTTGATTATTATTTACTTTTCAAGATACATTCAACGGCTGCTCAGGTTTTAAATGATATAATATCAATATCTCAATCAAGTAATCCCGAGCAAGGAGGCATTGGCCCGAATGCCTTGATTAGAGAGCTTATTAGGTAAAATACTTGCTGTAATGTTATTTTGTTTATATAATGTAAGATGATCATTTATGAAATTTCTTTGTGCAGTGATAAAACAGTTTCGCGACTTGTTGATTATATGCTTGATATAAAATCTCCTGGCTCAACATCCACTTTAAAAAATGGTGTTGGCATATTTATTCAGATAATTCAGAAAAATAATTGGTCAGTTATTCATAGAAATTATTTCCTATCAAATTAAAGTTCATATATTTGACGATTTCCCATTTTAGTGATTACGATGATGAGGCGATGTTAGCTCTAGTACAACACAATCAACACAATTCAGTGGTTGATTTGAGTGAAATGTTACGAGTTTTAGCTAATCGTATTGGAGAATTCAAGAAATTACTGGAGCATCCCAAATCAGTGGTAGATTTATCTGTATCTTTGTTGTTCGATTTGGTGTTCATTTTTCCGATGTTCTAATTTATTGTTTCTTTAAGACGAAACCTATCGAGACTACGATAGGGGAAACGCTTCCACTTGGCTTTGAACGATTTAGGATTTGTGAACTTTTTGCTGAATTAATTCATTGCTCCAATATGAGTTTAATGAATACAATTCGTCCTGAATCTTCTACAAACGGCTTATTTGGGGTCAAAAATGCAAATAACAATTATAATGATTATGAGCATGCAGATTCTAATTTTGTGTCAGTAGTGCCAGAACAAGAGCAAAAAGGTTATAGTTCATCTCTTGATTCAATAAACTCTATAAAGTCCGCCACCCAACAAGAATCAAGTTCCGATCCGCCCGGAAATTCAATCGACTCAACTTCACCTATGGATACTGTTGAACATGAACATGGGCAGACAATAAACAATTCTGTAGAGTCAAACAAAAGTAATAATCAATTAGTCACACAGAATCAAGATCATATACTGGTTGGTGATCTACTCAAAGAGAAATTTATCGAGCATAAAATCATTCCAACTTGTCTGGTGAGATGTTCTTTATTCCTTGCAGGGTGTGAATTATCTTAATATATCCTCGTGAGTAACATCAAATCTTTCAATCTTTTAGGATATGTTCTTCACTTTCAAGTGGAACAATTTCCTGCACACGGTTGTTTATGATATGATTGCCCAGATTTTCAATAGGCGGATGGACATTGGTCGAAATAAAGAATTGGCTATATCTGTAATGAGGATTTAATAATTATTTTGGATCTTTTATTTTAGTTTGATGAGTTATCTTTTTTTAATATACTGTTATTAGGTATTTACAGATGGAAAATTAACAAAAAGGATTACGGAAGCTCAAAAATCCAATGAGAAAAAAGTGTATGCTATTAAAACTTTAATTGTTCTTGTTATAATTTAGAACTAACTTATTCTTGATAAATAAATATATCGAAACCTAGGAAGGAGCCCAAAGGAGTAAGATTAGGTTATATGGGACATTTAACATTTATCGCCGAAGAGGTTGTCAAATTACTGGACCGATATGCAGTGGACATTGGTGAGAAAGTGAGAGGTTGGAATTTAAGTTTATCTTTGTGAATTTCCGAAAGTTACGGATAAACAGGTCATTGTAACAATACTTTATTAACATTGCATTTAGAGTACATCGAGGCATCAGAATGGCAGGAATATGTGTCAAAAACTCTTCGTGAGACACGAGAGCGTGATCGTGCACCTTTAGGTGGTCAAAGACCAAATGATCACGATAGCTTGGCGCCGAGTCGCGAAGATAGCGACGAAGATGATGATGCAATTGAGCAAACCGGTGTTAATGAAGGTGATAATCAGGTAATCATCCCGTAACGAAAATGATAAAAAAAATCTATTAATGATCATTTCAATATAGTTTGCTCGATATTTATGTCAACAAATCAATAACCCTGACAAGTTTAATTCATCGGACGAAGATGATGATGAAGATGACAGTTGGATGGGGTTAGTTTATTAGTAAGAAAATTTTGTTGTTGCCATGGCCAAAATTTTTTGATGCTGATTTAAAGAATATTCAATTGAACAGAGATGATTTTGAGAGAATGCCTAATCCGAATGTGAACGAGGTGAGAAATCTTTATATTTTTGAAACTCCTATTAGACATATATGCTATCAAAAGAATATCTAAATAAACATTATTATATGATTATTCTTGTCATGTAGGGAGATTTCGAAAATCGACAGTCTTCGCTGGACGACGACTATGGAGATGACAGTGATGAAGAGGTTTCCTAACTATTTCACGCAAAAGATCTTTGAGAAAAACATCATTGATTTTATTTTAATTAATGATGCCAAAATATTTAAAAATAATTCAGGATACTTCTAACAAATGGCCATCTGACAATAAGCAACTTCTTACTGATTGGACAGCCGACTTTCCATCAAGTTTCGAAAATGATATTAGTACAAACGAACAACACAAGACAGCCGAGATGTCTCCGTATATTATCATCAACAATACACCACCAATCACCGCCACTACCACCGCGACTAATCATCATCACATTACTGCATCTGACACTACAACAACAACAACAACAATACCTGAAGAAACCGTGAAATCTAACAACACCGCTTTCGCGAATATCACCAACACTGTTATACCAAACTCTTTAAAAACATCATCATCGATTTCGCCATCGATTTCACCATCGATTTCACAACCACTTTCTATCGTTAAAATAAACGCATCATCATTATCATCATCGTCATATACCGGGGGGCGTAGAAGTCCATCTGATATTATTAATGATGACGAGGAAGACGAGGAAAAGGAAGAAGATAGAATATTACCCATAGGACAAGAATCGCCTCTAATGGAAAATAATTCAATCACGACATCACGTGGAAGCGAAGATAAATTAATGGACTTTTCTACTTTTGATAAAATGGGAATAAAAGTTGAAAGTAATAGCGACGATGGGTTTGCTGAAAAGGTTTAATCTAATCTAATTTTGTATTATTTATTTTATCCCCCATCCAATCTACAACTCAACTCTTCGGATACTCGTTCAAATATATTCTTTTTTTATCGTCATCATTGTCATATTACTGGTAGTTAGTTGTGTTTGTCCTCCTCATTAATAATAATTTTTTTAGGTCTAACTAATTACCTACTAATGCTATTATTGCTGTTGTTGCTGTTATTCTCCGGAAATATTTCCGGATTTATAATTGATCGGATAAATATAGTAATACTAATTTTTGCGGCATAAACCTTATCGTTGTCGGATAATTTAAAATTTATTACTGATAACGATACAGTCCCAATTAATAATTCCAAATCGGTTAGTAAATCAATCATCTGAAGATTGGATGCTATGATAAACAATCAACTCGGTTTGGCATCCTGCAGACTAAGGTTGGACCCCAGAATTATTTTATGGTTTATGGGTTTAATTTTTGAGCTCTGACTGTGAGAAGCATGTTCTTCAAACAGATTGATGCATAACGATAATAATATCCATCATCGTAATAATCAACACCGTCAATCCGCTTGTTATTGATGATGATATTACACACTTATTTACTTATCATCAACAATTTTAATAGCGGGGTCAGGCGTCCTTCTAATCGCTTACTCAATCGTTGTCTACAACAATTGGACCCCCTATTTTGTGTGCACCATTATGCACCACGACAGTTACGAAGCTTTTCGACCGATATTTTATTATTACCAACTCTTTGCCAGGCAATAATAAATAAAAAGCACAAACACACTCGCACACTATTTTTTTACTTTTCTTCTTTTCATTATCATTATCATTATTATTATTTATACAAAATAATATATATTAAACTATACAATATATATCTTGACAGAACAACTTCCTGCAAAAAAACACATACACATACACCCTCTCCCTTTTTTTAGATCCCAAAAAATAATAAAGCCTTATTTCTCGACTGCCTTTACTATCCAACAACACCAATTACATCTTCAACGATTACGAAAGTGAAAAAAAGCTGAAATACTGTTGTCTAGAGGATTACTTTCCGCAATTATTTTTCGAGTAGTCTTCGTTCTCGACTTTAAATCTTATCATTCAATATATTCAATATTATTTTGATACTAGTAGTAGTACTATTTTATTATTTATAATATATTTGTAAGTTTTCTTTTTTTTTTTTTGAAAAAAAAAAGTGTGTTCGTGTGTATGTTTGTGTATTATTATCCTCGTTGACGACGCGCCTTAACCCGTGTGGAAGAACTTATATTATACAGTATATATTTTATTCTAATAAAATATATTTATTATACACACGTGTCATTTTATTTGATACATATAAAGTTTTTACGTGGCTAAAGTAACAAAGTAAAAACCAGTATATATAAATTATACAATATACTTTTGTTCTCATCTCCACAACGCTTTTTTCCTCATTTTTTTTTTCAATCTTATTGTTCTCTCTACTCTCTTCAATTCACGCGGTCGTTTCTTCTCACGTAAAAAGACAAAACATTAAACTAATAGGAATATTCATTGCTTCTTGACTAAGTCGTACTTGGTCAACAATGAGCCATGACCATCAGTCATTCAAAGTTGGACATTCGAATGTTGAGCCTGACCTAGCTCAGACTTCATCACCTTCGACGCCTGTTTCCACAGTAGCACCATTCAACTCAACTACCACCACCACCGCCACCACCAATAAAATTAAACCAGCACCAATAGGCATCATGATGAATAATAGAGACTTGAACCAACCTGGAAGAATGCCCACTGCAGCTACAATCTCATTGGCACCAACAACTACTACCACGGTAGTGACCACCACCACTACCACAACCACTACCTTTCCTCCACTTCTTTTGCGTCCTCCTCCTTTACCAAAGGAACTAGATCCTAGGGATTATCCATTATCTGATACGCCTACTCCCCCCGCTTTAAAGCGTTTCTGCTTTGACCTTAATGGTCAGCCAACCTATTTTCGGGAAAATGAAGATTCAGAAGAAGCAATAGTTAAAGTTCGTGTCTTCTCTCGAAAATTTCTCCTGATTCTATTAATTAATTATACGATTCATATCAAATTTTATTAATGTACGCGTTATTGATTTCGATTAATTTATAGCTTCAAGAAGCTTTGTACAATATGCGAGCATCTGGACCTACTTCAAAATCAACAATTTTGACAATTCAAGCTCCCAATTCATTAACGTCATCTGATACAACTCAAACTATTTCAAGTCCTTCAGAGAGAAAAATTAGTGGGATTGTTCCACGTAAAAGGCCTGCTTCACCTGTTGAAATATCATCTGATGCAAGTCTTTCTAATATTAGTCAACAACAACAGTTGAATTCTCCTTCATATGGATCGAAATCTACAACCACAAAAGCTCATAAATCATTATCACCACCTCATAAAAAAGTTCGAGCAAAATTTTCTAAAGTGATGCAAGATGAAGAAAGCGAGCTGGACTCGGCTATTAGAACAAATACACAATCGAGTAATAATCTTCCGGTTGAATCTCCTACGCCGTCTTCATCTTCCATCACTCTACCATCAATTTCATCATCTTCCACTAGCACCATTACTAGACATTATAATAATACAATTAGTACTTCCAATCTTGGAATTGACACTCCTTCTACCACAAGAAGCACTCATTCATCAGCCTTACCCTCGCCATCACTTTCTCCGATTACCGGAGATGATTCTTCCAATAGCACTAATCAATTTGATAATTTCTTATATGAACCTTCGATTGGAAATAGTGACGATGCAATGATTGAAGACGGGACACCTAATTCACTGCATATTACACAAAATTGGACCCAGGAAGAATCGCAAGGTGGATCAAATGGAACACACATTCCAAGTCTATTGGATTTGCCCACAATGTTATCCACTTTTGATGCGTTACCATCTTCAATGCAATCATACATGCTATTTCATCTTTTAAGGCGTTGTCCTACAAATACTCTTCAATATGTCAGCAATATAATTTTACCTGCGTTAAGGAGAGATTTTCTAGGCATGCTTCCGTTTGAACTTAGTTTGCAGATTGTTAGATATTTGGATGCGCCAAGCATGTGCAAGGCGGCGCAAGTAAGTAAGAGATGGCGGACCGTAATTGATAGTGATGGGTACACGTGGAGGCGTCGTCTTGAAGCAGATGGATTTGGTATAGATGAAGGAGAGGAATCTCTTGCAATATTAGAAAATTGGGGAACTTTACTACCTTCAATGAAATCTACAACTAGTAATAATAGGGACAACAAACTAAACTGCAATATCGCTGTTAAAGAAGAGAGTGGTGCTTCTTCTTCGGAAGAACGAACTGTAATAGAGAACGACGAAGATCCTGGAGATATGAGAATTGAAGGGGCTATAGAACAAGAAGAAATTGTCGTAAAAATTGAAAATCCATCCCAGAATTCCAAAAAATCTCGGAACAGTTATGATGAAATGTCACTTGACATCGAAGAGAAAGAAGAAAATAATTACACTCAAGACTCATCGTCATCGTATTCCTTCACTCAAACGAAAAACCAAGCAGCAAACAGCAATAATTCAACACCTTACAGTAATATCAGACGTTATGTAACACCTCAAAAATCAGACAAAGGAAAAGGTCGATCGGAACGTCAATGGAATAATTTTAGAAATGAAGATTCACAGAATGATGATGATCGACCTTATGATGGCGATGATAGTGACGTTGATGGGATGTCGCAAGGGAGCAGTGATCGACCGGAAATGTCTGAAGAAGCTCTTCCTTTGCCACCTTCCGCCGAGCATCCTTATAAAGCTATATATCGACGTCATTATCTCATTCGGCAGAATTGGATTCATGGTCGATCCACTCATATTTCGTTCCCTGGACATGGACCAAATGTAGTGACTTGTCTTCAATTCGATTCCGATAAGATTATCAGTGGATCTGACGACCAATGTATCAATGTCTATGACACTAAAACTGGCACACTAAGAAAAAGATTAGAAGGCCATGATGGTGGAGTTTGGGCTCTACAATACGTTGATAATACTTTAGTTTCTGGATCAACTGATCGAACTGTCCGTGTCTGGGATATTGAAAGAGGTGTATGCACACATGTTTTCCCAGGACATACAAGTACAGTTCGATGCTTACAAATCATTCTGCCAAAGAATGTAAACATAAATCCCAATGAATCACCAATAGTGGAACCTCCAATTCCGTTAATTGTAACTGGATCACGAGATTCCACATTAAGAGTTTGGCGTCTGCCGAATTCAGCAACTGATCCAAGCTTCACTCCAAATATTCCTTTATCGCCGTCTGATAATGTAACTGAAAATCCTTATTTCGTACGTGCACTACAAGGTCATACGCATTCTGTACGTGCACTGGCAGGTGTTGGCAATACTTTAATAAGTGGTAGTTATGATTGCACAGTCAGAGTATGGAACATTATGACAGGCGAATGCTATTGGCGTTTGCATGGACACACACAAAAAGTTTATTCTGTTGTATTGGATGCTAAACGAAAGAGATGTATGAGTGGAAGTATGGATGGCACGGTAAAGGTTTGGAGCCTGGAGGATGGAACTTGCGTCTGGACTCTAGAAGGTAATTAATTACCTAGCTTATTTTATATATAATTTGACTTGTATCTTACTTATCTGACAAATATAATATTTTTATTTAGGCCATTCTTCCTTGGTTGGTCTTCTTGATCTATCACATGATTTCCTCGTTTCAGCAGCAGCAGATTCTAGTCTTCGCATATGGAACCCAAATGATGGCACATGTCGACACGTATTAACTGCACACACAGGAGCCATCACTTGTTTCCAACATGATGACCAGAAAGTAATTTCTGGATCAGATGGCACTCTTAAAATGTGGGATGTGAAAACCGGTAAACCTATTCGTGATTTATTGACAGGTTTAAGCGGCGTATGGTAGAGTATTATTATCATCTTTATTAATATATTCGACGATTAAAATTATTATTATTAATATATTTCGATTTGAATTTACGAATTAATAGGCAAGTCAGATTTGATGAACGAAGATGTGTTGCTGCGGTTCAACGAAGCAACGTAACTTGGTTTGAAGTATTAGATTTCGGAGTAGAAGGAATTGAAGGACGAGATGAAAATGACTTGGGCGAAAATAATGATAATGGTGAAGTTAGTGAATATCAAAGGACTATACTGGGTCTAAATGATTCATTTGACGATGCATGAAATTATTATATATACTAGAATCAAATTAAATATATTATTATAATACTATAATAATAATAGCGATGATGGGCACTTGATATTTTTATCTAGCTAGAAATATAATTCTTTCTCATAATTTCTTGGGATTATTGTAATTGTCTATGACAACCAAAAAAACAATTGGAAATATTACGTTATAGTAACATTTTATTGTGTTACAAAAACCAACTTTTTTTCTTTTTCTAATAGAGTTTATCGTTATTATTTGCTTTGAGATTTCAAACTTTACTATCCCCTTTTATGCTATAACGATAATTAATATATTTGACGATCTTATCTTTTTAAGTTTTGACCAATAAGATTATACTTCCCTATATCTCATTCATTTCAATTTTTATGAAATTGCCAAATTTATTAATTATTGTTATTGTATAATTGTAGCAAAAAATTCATTCATCATTACTGTTTTTCTCAACCTGAAAATTTTATAAATCCAATTAAATAACTTTCAATTCCTAATCTCTTACATTAGGAATTCTGGCCTGAAATCAGGTTATATTATGTGTGAAACACATCACTACACCTATTATCGTTATATAATCAAATTTTAAAATAGCAAGTCATAATGAACCAAAACCAAAAAAACCATTATAATTAGACAAACACAATAATTTTATAATTCCACAGCATTCACATAATCTTGCATAATCACTAATTTCCCCGAAATCCCGAGCACACACACCATTTAGATGTTGGTTGATTCGATTATATAATTTAGAGAAAAATTCGTCGATCACATATGATCTCAGACACTAAGGGAAAATTCACTTTTAACCACATGATTCATCCATGCTCTTGTTGTTTTATGATCTCATTCTGAGGCAATAGGTGTTTTAGAAGAGATTGTTAAAATGACGATGCTATTCAAGCATCAAGCTGAATAATTACATAAAATATTGACCATCAATTTTAGTTGCATGTTCAAAATGGTGAAGATTTTTCAAATTTTCAACAATTTCGAATTGGATGGATGATTCTTCACTCTTTAAACATTATAATTCTGATATCTCATCCGAAAGTGCTTTCTTTATCTGTTGTGTGAATTGGAATCATCATTTATCATATTTATTTTTCAAGTCAAATCAAAATCACAACTTTCAAATATATATATATCTTGTGCTTCAATTATTGGATACAATCCGCGTGCAAATCAGTGAATTTACTCGATTTACTAGAAATGATACAATTTCCTAATTGAAATTGGGTCATTTTTACTGAAACAGCCCCAGTTGATCTACATAGTACTGTAGTTCACAATACAAAATATCCCCTGATCCCCATTTTTTGATTCACCCCGTGATCGACAGAAAATTTTAAAATGACATTCTTGATTCAGCTGCGCCATATATTGTATTTACTAGTATTATACTATTCAGTAAAGTAAAATAATTGGTATGATAGTATAGGTTACTTGGTTATATTTACTTTTTAAATTTGGTTTTTTACTTTACTCAAGAATATGATTTTAAAATTTTCTGTCGATCACGGGGTGAATCAAGAACAGGGATCCAGGTCCAGGTTAAGAACGGGAATTTGTCTCTCAGGGTCCCATAAAAAGATTTGGAATCAATTTTTCCAATTTTCGAAGCCAACAATATAAAATTACAATGGCATACATCAATCACGTCAAGTTTGTTGCATATATTTATTATATAAGCAAGCAGCTTCTGATTTTTTCTGCATATATACAGAAGCAACTAAACAATGGACTCCTGATACAATCACCAAGGCTTGCGAAACATATTTTAAGAGTAACACGTCCTTGGACACAGAGACTTGACGAAACTGGATTATTCTATTTTTTGTATTAATGGATGTAAAGAAACTATCTTAAAGTGTTTATTTTAGGTTTAGAACTCAAATAATTTTGAATATAATTTCGGAATTAGTTTTGGCAATATATATTAGAATTTCAAGTTCATTAGTCACATGATTTGGTCTGAATTATGACTTGATTTCTTAATGTTGGCCAAAATCTAAATTGGGGCCACACAAGTAGAAACCGTCGAATTGGCCAGTTTCTACTTGTGTGGCCCCAATTTCCAAACGGGTCCCTGATCCTGATTCTGTGCGAATCCTTATTTATGTTGTGCCTCTAGGGCTGTTAAAAGTCTCATGTGAGTCGGTCTTTGAGTCGTCTTTTGCTGAGTTGCTTTTGAGTCTGAGTTTAGGCTCGAAGAGACCGTCTCCCAATAGTCACATGATAGATTAGAT